GAAGGGGCTGATCATGGTCCTCTTGCAGTTTCACCGTCCCAGTTTAGGGGTGGCCCATCCAGGCTTTGATAAGGTGAACCCACCCTTAGGTTTTCAAGCTCAGCCAAGGTTTCCATCATAGTAACCTGATTCTGAAGCCCTCCGTGAGCATCTGAAGGAAGCTCCTCCTTGTTCCAGCTCAGATCCCGGGTCAAGTGATAACCCAATGTTTTTCCCAGAAGAACAGGAATTCCTGTTTATGGCATCCTATGGGTTATCCCAGTGTTTCTCAGCCTTGAAGATGTGTAGTGAATTGAAGTCCACATATACTGGCTGGGGGATTCTGGGAGCTGAAGTCCACACATAGCTAGATGAACAATTCTAGGAGTTGAAGTCCACACAAACTGGATGGGAGATTCTGGGAGGTGAAGTCCACACATCTTCAAGTTGCCAGGGTTGAGGAACACTGTGATAACCCATACAATGCCATAAATAGGAATGCCAGTTCTTCTGGGAAGGGAGAACCTACCAGGAAGGAACAAACACATTCGTGTTGGCATTCCTGTACATCAAGAGAAGGTGCCACTTTGGACCGATGGGGACACTCTTTGATTTTGAGGGCAGGTAACGAGCGCCTTCACAAAAATGGTCTTGCAGGGAAGGCGTCCCTGCCTTTACACGATGCACGAACAAGGTCTTTGGTTCCAGTCAAGGACAGCAACCCTGGTCTTTTCTCCACCTTCTAGGCAGGAAGACTTTTTCTTCCTCACTAAGCCAGAAGAATTCATCCAGAGCCACTGGCCAGAGGATCCCCGATGGCAGCTCATCCACCCTCCCATTCCCCAGGAGGTTTTCGAAGAAAGAGCTTTCAAAACACCTGAGTTTTTCAAACTTCGTCTCGCCCTCTTGTCTCCGGACACTTCTGTGCTGCAGACAGGTGACTTAGGAGCTGGGAAATTGGGTGGCTTTGATCCCTTCAGTGCCTTGATTGACCTCACTGAAGATCAGGGAGGTTCTCCAAAGGTTGGGGCTTGGAGACTGGTATCTGCTCAGAAGCTCATCAAGGACTCTTGTGTGTGGGTCTCTCCTTCCCTTCAGGAGAATACTGCATGAAGCTGAGATATCTTCATTTCTGAATACTATACCTGGATGGGAGACCACTGGGAAATCTTGGAGCTGTAGGCTAGACTGGGATGTTAGGAAAAATCCCAGAAAAAGGTGGTGGCTAATCACTTCCAGCTTATTGGAACATAGAATGTCCTTGCAGTCACTAGCTTGCCTAAGAGATGTGGTCCAGAAAACTAAGATGGTGATCTTGATGGCCTAATCAATGCACATAAAAAACAGGCAGAGCTTCAATCGCACCATCAAGACCACCATCTTGACTTTTTGGACCATACCCTGGGGACACCCTGCTTACAGTGATCAAAGCCACCCTTTTCCCCTACCTTCTTTCTTTACAGATGAAGGGGAAGTCACTGTATCTTTAGCAAGCACTCATTCCACCGAGTTCACTTACAAACTCCTGAAGTTCTGCCTGGATGGTCACCAAGAAGATGTTGGAAAGTCTCATGGATTGCTGACCCGCTCTGAGAATAGGATGGACCTCCGAATCTTCCCACCCTCTGAGGGACTCTTTGGATTGCAGGTTTTTGCTCGTCCATCTGAGTCTCAGGAACCGTACGCCTGGGTGTGTTCCCATCAAATCGAGTGCCTACAGTTCAAAGGTGAGGAGCAATTTCCAGAGAATCCGTTCTCTTTCTGGGGGGTCCATCCCAAAGCCAAAGAGTTCGGGATTGAGGGTTGCAATTGGGGAGATAATATGATTGTCGCCCACACGGGGGTACAGAAGTTGATTCTGAAGATCCAGCGGCCTCTCTTGGCAGCTTACAAACTGGTTCATCCAAGCTTAGATGACACAGTGAGCAAACAGTGCCTTCTTTCGCAAACAGAAGAGGAGAAGCTGAGTTGCCACATCCTTTGCCCTTACGCGGGCCATTACCGGCTCTCCGTATTTGTCAAGGGTCTCGTTGAGGATGAGTTCCACAACGTGGCCAACCTCCTTGTACGGTGCTCCCACCCAGTCAACCTCAACAAACTCTTCCCATTGGGCCTCAGCCCCCACTGCGGGATGGGGATCAGCGCCCAATGGAGAGGCCTCAGCAATCCAACCCACCGGGCACCCATTATCAGCACAAAAAAGGGATGTTGCACCCTCGCTTTCTGCACCCAGCAGGGCTTCGAAGCCATGGCCGTTCTGGACAAGGATAAAGCAACCTGTACAAAATATGCGATGGAACGATACGTCCTGATCACTCACTTGGAAAGAAAGATGAGCGTTTCAGTCCGATTACCTGAAGCCGGATCATACAGGGTCGCCTTGTATGGACGGAGTGCTGAAAGCCAGGAATTCACCCACGTATGTGATTATGTTATCCACTGCTTCACCACCCCACGGTGGCCACCCTTTCCCAGAGTCTACAGCTTATGGAGAAGGGGCTGTGTCCTCCTCCGGCCCAGATCTGGAGTCCTGCAAGAAAAACACTGGGTCAAATTCCGGATGAAGGTCCCGAAGGCCTACAGCGTTCATGTTATTGGAGATGCGCGGGTTGACCTGAAACTGGCCCACAGTCACGTGTGGGAAGGAGAGGTGTACACCGGCCTCGCTGGGGCGACGCTCAAGGTAGCAGTCAAATTGTCCCCATTGTCCCCATGCATGGAGGTCATCCTTTCGTTTGATGTTGAATTCAGTTCTTTGACCGTAGGGGATTCTTCAGGATAAAGTCATCTAAAATATTCTGGACTTGGAAGGCCCTCCAGATTCCATAATGCCAAACTCAGATTTCTTGCAGAAAAAACAGATGCAATAGGGAACTAGTAACACAGCTGTAATTTGTGTATTATCCCAGGGAGCTCTTTGCACCCCTCCGTAATTAACTCCAAGGATATGTACGAGTTATGCCGTCCTGTGTTTGGCAGCTGCGGTGATTTATTTCTGGCAACCAGAAAAAAAAAAAAAGTGATGTTTCTCTTTGTAGTTTGGAAGCTCTTAGGAGTTTGTGAGAGGTCTGCTTTCCCATTGGTGGGAGCTCTTGCTTCAGCCCACCTCCCAACTGTCCAGCTTCAGATGACTTAGGAATCTCTCCACAGGACCTTAAAGGGGAAAGGTGGCTTCACGGCTTCACTGATTCCTCTTTGCAGCAACTGTGCAGATGTTTTGGCCTAGGGCCAGGCAAATCCATCCTGCCCACACCCTAATGATCCCACCTTAAAATGCAGCTGGGGTTGAGCTGGCTTGTTAAAACTTTTTGCAGGTTTTCCATCTACTCACCCCTTCTGCCCTGCATGGAAGGCAAAGGGAGCTGGGGGCAAATCGGAGGAGAACCCTGTATCTTTCCTGCTCCTCTTCTACAGGGAGGGCTGCAGATGGATGGGGAGGGGCTTCTTTCCCTTTTGCAGAGTGGGAGGCATTTCTGCCATTCCAGGACTGTCTCCCCTCTCTCTCTCCATTGCTCCCCTCGCCCTCCCCCCACTGCCCCAGCCTTCAGCCTTCTGTTTCTTGTGCTGGTCTGTCTGCTCCTGCTCCTTTTTCTGCACATCGGCTACCATTGCATCTTACAACCTTGATTAGTGGGGAAAGTGTGTGGCCGCAAAACCGAAAGCCCAGGGTTTCTCAACTTCAGCGACTTTAAGATGTGTGGACTTCCAGAGCCCCTCAGCCAGCATGGCTGACTGGGGAATTCTGGGAGTTGAAGTCCACACATCTTAAAGTTGCTGAAGTTGGGAAACCCTGTGATAGTCCGATATTATGCCCTAGCTCTTGATGAGACTTTGAATGCAGGAGAAATGAAAGCTTGATAATGAGGGAGATCCACTCAGTTATAAACATCCAAGATTTTTTTTTCTTTTGCAAACTACCAGGTGAATGCACACAACTTGGTCCAAAAGCCTGAAGGGTGTATGTGTATGTGTGCGCGCGTGCGTGTGCTAGCAACTGCACCCTTTGGGATAGAGATGGGTGAGAGAGTGGTCTTGTTTCTCCAAGGCCTGCAGTAGGTTGGAGGGGGGACCTGGCTGCATGGGGAGCCCTGCCCTGGCCTGTTGGTCAGCTGCAAGGGACGGGGGCTGGTTGACTGATGGGCG